ATCCCCCATCCCACGACTCAGAGACAACTAACCCCTCCAGCGGTAATCCTCCAATCTCCTCCCTATCATCCTCTTAGCCCCACCATCCCCCTGACAACTCACATCTTCCTCCTCCCAGATGTAGTCATACACAGCCACTTTCCGCCTCTCGCCTTCCTCACCACGCCACTGCTCTGCCTTCTTACAGATGTAGGCCAGCTCCTGGTTGCTGATCTCCAGGTCATAAGGCAGGAAGAACTCCTCTTGCTTGGCATGGAGACGGTGGAAGATGTCCAACATCCGGCCATTGTTATGAAGCCTGAACAAAAAAAAATCTTCATGTTTTAATGCGCTTAAAAAGCCTAAACACAGTATATCTAACAGGTACTCAACCCAATAAATTTGACTCTATAAAGAGACTAACATGCCAACCCTTGAGAACATATAGACCTTTTTCACCCATGTGACTGGATTACGCTAAATGTAAACAATACCACAACGTGTGGACCGCGTTGGCCACGGTGATCGTATATATTCCTATGGGCAGCTTCAACCACGTATAAGCGCACGTGCAAATGCTGCATGCTTGACTAGTTTATCTTGAAGGGTACCATCACAACACAGTGGTCCAGCATGATTGTGGCATCACAGGGAACAGGTCTATAGGTCACGCCCATAAATTGGGGGAAGCAGCACCTACTGATATACATGTATAACAATGTTTTATTCCATTTCTGAACTGATTTGAAGACAAGAAGCAACAAAGCAGCTGTAGCAACATACCTCAGGAAGTACATGTAGAAAATGACAATGGCCAAGAACATTAGGAACACGTAGATGGGGACTGTCAGGAGTATACCCATCAGACCGGTTCCATGTGTTTGCTGGAAGTGATAGTACAACTTAGCAGCATCTGCTATGGGCTCATCACCAGCTTCATAGTTGTAACGCTGCAAGAAGATTGAAGGAAAGTTCCAATACTCCAGTCAGTTTCAGAGTGCCCAAAACCAAAAAAAAATCAGCTTTGTCTACTGAAACATGATAGGTATGGGGAGTCAGGTTGCAAACTGGTAGCTTACTCACTGTCCACTATCAGTCAGTGCGAGTACAAGTATTT